ATGGTCGATGCTCCCAATCCAAATATGAGTGGCACTACCTACTTGGATACCTAACATGGCTCATTGGAACCTCACTCTAGCCATATGGCTAGAGCACCTAAAGGTGGAAGATGGGAAAGTACTCATGAGGTTTGCGTAGGGCTACGGTATTTTGAAATGTCATCCCAAAGTCCCAAATTGTGGAAAGGAAGAAAAGCAATCCTCTGGTATAATGACTAAGGATAGAGTCACATGGTGAGGAAATCCCAAAGGATAGTAGAACTATGTGGTTGGGGCTTTGGGCCTTGACCCAATGGCGGTGTTGGCAAGCATAATTGTGAATGAAAAAGGACTTAGTGGGGATAGAAGAAAGGACATTGGGGAAGGGTGTTCCCTATGTATGTAAACATCCTAAGGGTGCTAAGGTGTGGTCAAGGGATGACCACTCATGGATAGATGGCCTAGTCTTTAAGAGACGGAATTGTGATGCAAATGGTCTTGGACTACTAATATGACAATTGTGAATGGGCATAGCCTTAACATAATGGGCTGATATGATAGTGGCACCTTTGGGTGTCGGTCATTGGATCGGACACGTAGAGCACTTGGACCAAGTGTAAAGGCTAAGTGGCATAAATGCCATTCATAGAGCTAGCATGTCCCAAATTAGGAATAAAACTTATAGAGGTTGTGAGTAATATTCCTCGAAGTGGTCAAAGGTGGGGTTAAGTGACTAAAGTAAAATAAAAAATTTAATTGCTTGCAACTTGGTATTGGAGTTGTTATTTAGTCTGACTCTTATTACTGGTCAAGTATATCACCACTTGATATTAGCGTCAGAAGGTCCTAAGAGTGGGTCTACCTCAAAGAGTAGCATGTTGAGAGGGTGTGACTCTCCACTTTAGTTTATATGTAAACATGTTGGCAATGTGGTGGATAGAAAGGGGCCAATAAGGGAATGACTTTGGGATTTTAGGAACAATAAAAAGTTTTCCTTAGAGAGTTGAGGATGTAATTTATATAAGTGTTTAACTTAGAAAATTGGCTCGGGAATAATGGAAACTTTTGGATGATAAAGGAGTCATAATTTTATCCTCATATAATTAAGGATAGTGCTCAAGAATTTGAGACTGAAGTTAGTGATTGTAAAAGGTCAAATACGGATAAAGACACAAGTCCTTGAAATGGTAACCAAGGCTACTTTTAATAAATGTTGGAACAACCCAAGGAATTAGAGGTGTACATAGAGGATGAGTTGGTAATCTCATTATATGAATAGATAATCCTAAGGGGTAAAGGTAGTTCGTATGGAACAAAAAATAATCAGGTGTCAGAGTAACACTTACAAAGATCATTTTTATGAATAAAACATGAATACAAAAAGTTGTATTCTAGTAAGTTAACACTTCAAAGGTAGAACTTTATGGGTTCTTGTATTAACAAAGTCCAAAAGATAGATGATTCAAATGGAATTAAGGAATGGTTTTACAGGATTTGTGGAAGTATTTGGATCGAGGTATGTTGTACCCTATGAAAAATGGGGAAGAT